GTCTTGCCCTCATTCTGTGCCAGGCTGGCAAGTGAAGACGAAGTGTCTTCATATGTGTGAGCAGGATGGATAAAAATCGATGATTTTTTAAATTTATTTAAATTGGATTTTTGTTTTTATCAAATTTATTTTAATAAAATGCTTTTGGAGTAAAAATCTATGTAAAGATAATTTTCTGTTTAACATACATTAATAATTTAGTTTATTCAGCATGAAATGGAGCTTAGTTATGTAGCATGAGGCTGTATATTCTGCAATATTTACATTTTTGGTAAACTCAATGAATCCAAGCTCTGCAAGCTGAGATAACATGCACTGCATTGATGCAGTCACAGTAACCATGAGAAAAAAACATGAAATAAAAGGCTGAGTAGTTCTCCAACTATGTGTGATTAACCTATTAACCTAAAATTGGTTCTGATATCGCTGTTTTACTAACCTGACAGCTTATTATTCTAAAAAGGAAACCTTCATTTGGTTTGCAAATATTAAAGAGTCTAACTACCAGCAAGAATGAGTCGGATTCCTTACATTTAAAGAGCACCTGTCATTTTAGATCCATCATGGCAGCGCCTGTTAGCAGGCATCCACTCACCTGCTGCCGCCACGTCCCTCACCTTGTTGTATCACTGCTGCATCACCAGCCGCCCCATTAAAGTGAATGGGACTGTTGGTGAGTCAACATCGGGTCAGAGGAGCCGCTGCAGGCCAGATTACAGTTGCTCTTTAAAAATTATGATATAAATCGGGCCTTTCTCTAGTGTTTTTTAAATCAAATCCAACCTGTATGTGAGGTATAGAGATCTGTTCCAAACTACCTAGACCACAGCAGACCATATTTCAAGACAAAAGGGCAAGAATGCCACCAGATGGATGATGGGGAGATGGTCAAAAATCTTAATTTTCAGAAGGAAAACCTGTTCATTTTAGTTTTTTAGAGCCCACTCAACTAGAGCTATATAATTTTGTGGGCAGAAGAAGCCACTTTAACTAATGTTGATCAGTCAACCTCCAGAACCTTTGGAAAACAATATAGACTATATTTTTCTCCATAATCTAGAGTTTGGTTATGGTTTTTTATGTTTTTTTTTTTTTTTTTTTTTTTTTCTGCAGCACTGCACCCTCAGTTAATATCTGCTATATCTCGTTTTCTTGTTTTGTTCTGTCCTTGAGCAAAGAGGGAAAAGCACAAAACTTCCCTCTCATGTCTCCTATTTACTTTCCTGTATACATATCTGTATTGCGCTCTGAGGTTTTAGGGGAGGAGTCAAATTTTATATTGGTCCATTCCTGCCACTTTCAGGTGGGTGGATCATCTCTCGTTGTGCTGTCGGAGTGCTCTATATCATCAGATCTGTAAAGGATATTCGTTGTGAAAGTTGGAAATGATTGCACTGCCTCCTGATATAATGTAGCAGAAACCTCTGATGGAGTATATTAAGAAACAAAAATGTTTTAACTGACATTTTTTGTTGTGCCATGCCTGCAAGTTTCTATCAACATGGTTGATCTGTAGACTGCTGGACCTGCAGGCAAATGTTTGAGTAGCTCTATACAGTTAGGTCCATATATATTTGGACACAGGCACAATTTGTAGATTTTTCAGGTATTCAAGCTATAGTTATATAATGGATATGGGCTGAAATTGCACACTTTCAGGTTTAATTTGAGGGCATGCACATCCAAATTGGAGGAAGAGTTTAAGAATTACAGATCTTAAGTGTAGCCAACCCCTTTTTTTTCAAGGTTCCAAGAGTAATTGGATATTGGAATCAAAAGCTGTTTCATGGCCAGGTGTGGGCTACTCCTTCATTATTTCTTCAATTAAGCAGGTAAAAGGTCTAGAGTTGATTCTGAGTGTGGTATTTGCATTTGGAATCTATTGCTGTGAACCTACATCATGCGTTCAAAGGAGCTGTCCATGCAAGTGAAACATGCCATTGTAAGGCTTCAAAAATGAACTAAATCCATCAGAGAGATAGCAGCAATATTAGCAGTGTCCAAATCAACAGTTTGGTACATTCTGAGGAAAGAACACACTGGTGAGCTCAGCAACATAAAAAGGCATGGCTGTCCACGAAAGACAACAGTGATGGATGATTGCAGGATGCTCTCTATGGTAAAGAAAAACCCATTTTCAACATCCAGACAAGTGAAGGACACTCTCCAGGGGGTGGGCGTATCATTGTCTACAATCAAGAGAAGACTTCAGGAGAGCAAATACAGATGGTTCACCACAAGGTGTAAACCATTCATAAGCCTGAAGAATAGAAAAGCCAGATTAGGCTTTGCCAAAAAACATCTAAAAAAGCCAGACCGGTTCCGGAAAAGCATTCTTTGTACGGATGAAACTAAAATTAATCCCCCATACTCAAAAAACCCTCCCTGGACCCCACCGACCTGAACAACCTTAGACCCATCTCCCTGCTGCCATTTACTTCCAAGCTCCTTGAGCGCTTAGTCTACAATCGCCTAAGCGCCCACCTCACTGACAACCTCCTCGATCCACTACAGTCTGGCTTCCATCCCCTACACGCCACCGAAACCACCCTACTCAAAACCAATAATGACCTGCTAACTGCCAAAACTAATCGCCACTACTCAGTCCTCTTACTCCTCGACCTCTCCGCGTCCTTCGACACAGTTGACCACCCCCTCCTCCTTAATAAACTACACTCCCTTGGCATCAGAGACTCCCCTCTCTCCTGGCTCTCCTCCTATCTATCCCAACGCTCCTTCAGCATTACCTATAACGCTACCACCTCCCCCTCTCTATTGGGGTCCCCCAAGGCTCTGTCCTCGGGCCACTTCTCTTCTCCATCTACACCTCTTCCCTCAGCAAACTGATACACTCCCACGGCTTCAACTATCACATCTACGCCGATGACACGCAAATTTACCTCTCCACCCCTCAACTCACCCCTTCAGTCTCCGCCCGTATCACCCACCTACTGAACGACATATCAGACTGGATGTCGCTCCATTTCCTCAAATTGAACCTTTCCAAAACAGAGCTCCTGATTTTCCCTCCAGCCCGTGCCCCCCCTCTCCATTACGACCAACAACGCCACAATCAGTCCCACCCCACAAGCCAAAGTCCTAGGTGTCACTCTAGACTCAAACCTGTCCTTCCAACCCCATGTCTAATCATTGGTAAACTCATGCAGGCTCCACCTCCGCAACATCTCCAAAATACGTTCGTTCCTAACCCCAGACACTACTAAACTACTCGTTCACTCCCTTATTATCTCACGTCTGGACTACTGCAACTCCCTTCTCACTGGCCTACCTCATCGCAGACTATCCCCGCTTCAGTCTATCCTGAACTCAGCGGCCAGACTCATTCACCTTACCAACCGCTACGCTTCTGCCACCCCCCTCTCATTCCCTCCACTAGCTCCCCATTGCCCAACGCATTAAATTCAATCTACTAACACAGACATACAAAGCCAGCCATTCATAATGCTGCCCCAAACTACCTCACCGACCTGATACCCAAATACCACCCTACCCGTAATCTTTGCTCCTCACAAGACCTCCTACTTTCTAGCTCCCTGGTCTCCACCTCCCATGCCCGACTGCAGGACTTCTCTAGGACTTCCCCATCCTCTGGAACTCACTACCCCAATCCATCAGACTGTCACCTACCCTCCTCACCTTTAGGCGCACCCTGAAAACCCATCTCTTCAGGAAAGCCTACCCCTCCCTTACCTAACAGCCGATCTCCACTCCACTCCATCCCCCCACAGCCACTCCTCCTGTACCACTATCCCCTCCCTCCTAGATTGTAAGCTCGAAAGAGCAGGGCCCTTGCATCCCTCGTGTTCTGTTTTGTTACTGTATTGTCTCATGTACTGTCCCCCACTATAATGTACAGCGCTGAGCAAACCTTTTAGCGCTATATAAATACTGTATAATAATAATCTGTACCAAAAGGACAGGAAGAAAAGTGTGCAGAAGGCTTTAGACAGGTCATGATCCAAAGCACACAACGTCCTCTGTAAAACATAGTGGAGTCAGTTTGATGGCATGGACATGCATGGCTTCCAGTGGCACTGGGTCATTGGTGTGCTTATTGATGATTTGACAGAAGACAGAAGCAGCCAGATGAATTCTGCAGTGTTTAGAGATATTCTGTCAGCCCAGATTCAGCCAAATGCAGCAAAGTTGATTGGATGGCTCTTCACAGTACAGATGGACAGTGATTCAGAACACACTGCAAAAGCAACCCAGGGGCTTTTGAAGGAAAATAAGGGGAATATTCTGCAATGACCGAGCCAATCGCCTGATCTCAACTCAGCTGAGCATGCATGTTCACTTGCTGAAGGCAAAACTAAAGGCAGAAAGATCCACAAACAAAGAACAACTGAACACAGCTGCAGTTAGAGTGGTAATGTCCATGGGTTCCAGACTTCAGGCAGTCGTTGCCAGTAAAGGATTCTCAACAAAATATTAAAAATGAACATTTTATTTATGATTATATTCATTTGTCCAATTACATTTGAGCCCCTGAAAATGGAGGAACTGTGTACAAAAATGGTTGCAGTTCCTAAAAATTTGTATTTGATATTTATGTTCAACCCCTTGAGTTAAAGCTGAAAGTCTGCACTTCAAATTAATTTGGATTGTTTTAATTTACTCAGGTGGCATACAGAGCCAAAAGTATGAAAATCGTGCCTGTGTCAAAATATATATGGACCTAACTGTATATTGATGTTTAAACTATTGTAATATTCTTAAAGGGTTACCTAACCCAGGACCCTGTATTCAATCTATCTGGTATCCCACAGTACAGAGAACATGGAAATGCAATTATTTTAGTAAATATAAACTGATAAATACCTTTTCTTATCAGAGCAGTCATGTGACTTCAGCAGAGCACTGCTTAAAGCTTGTAGGAGGCGTTTCCTTTCTACTCTAGAGGATGCAAAACCCCTGACCCTCTGGACAGTGCTGATTGGCCCTGTGCTGATCACCTGCATTCTCCCAAGAAAAAATACCTCTCTAGCAATACACACTAAACTGATCATGTGCATGTGGCTACGGGTCAGTCTGTCTTATCAGGTGGACATCTGAACAAGAGGAGGGGCAGAGAAAACAGGATCAAATGACCTTTTTTTACACAATGCAGAGGATCAACCCCTTTAGGTTTCACAGTGAGTATAACAAGCATGCTTTACTGCATATACGGACTGATTTTTTACTGTTGTGGGTTTAGTAATACTTAATTTACAGGAAATAATGGTAGTTGCTATACTTGGCAAGTTTCTATTCCAGAGCTTTGCATTCACAGGATTTAATTTAATAATCTGCATGTAGCTGCTTTAGACTGACAAAAGCATTAATATATCATTCTAGGACCAGACAACTGTGCGCACTGTGGCATCTGCCACCACTGCAAATGAAATTCGTAGACAATCCTGTAGTTATGATGATCCCTGGAAGATCACTGATGAACAAAGGCAGTACTATGTAAATCAGTTCAAAAACATTCAGCCTGACCTTAACGGATTTATCCCAGGTAAGCATTTACATAATTCCCTACTGCTTTCCATTTTTTTAAAAGGGTTCATCCTATTAGAATGATTAAGTATTTCATTATGAAGTTGTGGACAATTTTGTTTTTTTTTTTTATGATGGTCATTAATTCAGAAATTTTTATTTAATCACTTCAATACTGGACACTTGCACCTCCTTTCTGCCTAGTCCAATTTTCAGCTTTCAGCGCTGTCACACTTTGACAATTACTCAGTAATACAACACTACCCAAATGAAATTTGTATCTTTTTTTTTTTTTTTGGCTAAAAAAAAAAAAAAAAAAATTTTTTTCTTTTGGTGGCATTTAATAATATTTCAATATATAAATGAAAAATACAGAAGATTTTGAAAAAAAAAAAAACACATTTTAATTAGTTTGTTTTTCAATTTTGAAAATCTATCTTCATAAATTTAGGCCAAAATGTAATTTGCTACATTTCTTTGACAAAAATAACACAAATCTGTGTATATTTTTAAGTCTGTGTAAAATGAGTGCACAAAATATGGTGCATATATATTTGAAAATTGATCAGTCCTGATGTACTGACTGCATATCTCATTTCTTGAGGCTCTAAATAGCCAGGACAGTGCAAATACTCTCAAATTACCCTTTTTTTGGAAAGTAGAAAGTCCTAGGTATTTAGTAAGTGGCATGGTGAGGTTTTTGAAGTTGTAATTTTTTTGTCATTTTTCGTAAAATGAAGAAATGTTTTTTAACCACTTGCCATCCAGAGGATTTACCTTCCCAGGCCTCTTTTTGCTACTCGGCGCTGCACTAATTCAACTGATAATTGCGCGGTCATGCAATGCTGCACCCAAACGAAATTTACATCCTTTTTTTCACACAAATAGAGCTTTCTTTCAGTTGTATTTGATCACCTGTGCGCTTTTCATTTTTCACGCTATAAACAAAAAAAGACCACAAATTTTGAAGAAAAACAATATTTTTTGCTTTCAGCTATAAAAAATATATAGTAAACTCAAAGTTGGTTATAAATTTAGGCTAAAATGTATTCTGCTACATGTTTTTGGTAAAAAAAAATCCCAATAAGTATATATTTATTGCTTTGTGTGAAAGTTATAGCGTCTACAAACTATGATATAGATACTGCAATTTACGCCATTTTTTTGCTATACAGCGCTGCGCCTGTGCACTTTTTATTTTTTGGCGCTATAAAGAAAAACATTTTTGAGGAAAAAACATTTTTTTTTGGAAAAAAAACATTTTCTCATTTCTGTCATAAAAAATATCCAAAAAACCTAAAATTTCATCATAAATTTAGGCAAAAATGTATTCTGCTACATGTTTTTGGTTAAAAAAAAAATCCCAGTAAGTGTACATTTATTGCTTTGTGTGAAAATTATAGCATCTACAAACTATGGTATAGATAATGGAATTTACACAGCATTTACTTTCTGATTGCCCATCACATTTCATGAGATGCTAAAATGCCAGGATAGTACAAACACCCTCAAATGACCCCTTTTCGTAAAGTAGACACCCTAAGCTATCTGCTGAAAGGCATATTGTGCCCATGGAAGATTTATTTTTTTTCCACAAGTTTCTGCAAAATAACAAAAAATGTTTTTTTTTTTTTTTTTTTTTTTTTTTTACACAAAGTTGTCATTTAAATGATTTATTTCTCGCACAAGCCATGGGTATTTGTGGAATTACACCCCAAAATACATTCTGCTACTTCTACAGAGTATGAGGATACCACATGCGTGAGGCTTTTTGGGAGCATAGCCACATACAGGAGCCTGAAATCCAATGACCACTTTGAAAGCCTGAAGGTGTGTAACTTCCTCATTTCACTTCCTCACTACCTTTTTTCACAGTTCGAAGGCCCTAAAAAAGCGAGGATAGCACCAAACTCCCCCAAATGACCCCCTTTTTGGAAAGTAGACACCCCAAGGAATTTAAAAAGAGGCATGGTGAGTATTTTGTAGATCTCATTTTTTCTCACAAGGTTTTACCCCCTTACTCGGGAGAAGTAGCAGAATGTATTTTGGGGAGTAATTCCACATATACCCATGGCATGTGTGAGCAGTAAATCATTTAAGTGACCATTTTGTGTAAAAAAAAAATAATAATTTTTCCAAAAACTTGTGGTAAAAAAATAAATTCTTCAATTGATTCAACATGCCTCTCCGCAAATAGTTTTGGGGTGTCTACTTTCCAAAAAGGGGTCGTTTTGGGGGGTGGGGGCATTTTATGCCCAGCATTAGAAGTTTATGCCACACATCACTCACTCTTCTAACCACCTGAAGACCAAGCTTTTTCTGACACTTTTTGTTCACATGAAAAAAATCAGTCTTTTTTGCTAGGAAATTGCTTTACAAAAAATATATAATGTTTGGGGTTAAATTAAACACCATAGTGAATAAAATGGTGGGTACTACAATTTTTTATGGCACATAGTACTCGCGCAGCGATTTTTCAAACTTAATTTTTTTTTACAAAATACACTTTGTTTTACTTTTAATGCACAAAAACACAATATATTGGCCAATTATTTGGTAAATTATAAAAGATGATAGTATGCCGAGTAAATAGATACCAAACATGACATGCTTTAAAACTGCACATGCCCAGTGCAATGGCGACAAAGTGCATACGTTTTTAATATCCATAGGCAATGTTTTGCAAGCTAACATTTTTAGATTTACAGAGGTGTAGTGTTAGAATTACTGCCCTTGATCTGAAGTTTGTGGCGATACCTCACGTGCATGGTGCAACTGCTGTTTCCATACTGGCACAGGGTCACGCTCATTACGCAGGTGCGCACTATGCGCGGGAGGCGAGGGTTTTTTTTTTTTTTTTTTTTTTAGTTTTGATTTTTAGACTGTCCTTTTAATTTTTGTTTTTTTGGGGGTTTTTTTTTATCACTTTTAATGCTATCACAGGGAATGCAAATATCTTCCATGGGCATTGTCATATATTCTTTTTTGAGAAATCTGGGGTCTATCAGACTCTAGATCTCTCCTCTGCCCTTACATTATCTAATCAAACCAAAATCAGTGTGATCAAATGCTTTCCCAATTTACAAATGGTGCTGTTTATATCCTGCGAAACTGAAGTGATGAAATACTCGTAGCTTCCAAATTCTTAGGCTATAGAGATGATTGGCACCATTCTGGTCTCCAATCAGCTCTATGGTCAGCTGGCAGAAACACCGGCTGCATTCTCAGGTTCCCCCAATGGCGCGGGACTGCCTGAGAAGGCCGTGGAAGCAGCAGAGGAGGGGGGGGGGCATCATCTCCCGCTGCTTGTAAAAGCAATCCTGCAGTTAATTAGCCACTAGGATTGCTTTTACATGAAAGCTGATCGCCAGCTGAAAAAAATGATACCAGGATGATGCCTGCAGCTGTAGGTATTATCCTAGTATGACCACTCAAAGTCCAGTGATGTACCAGTACGTCGCTGGTCCTTGTTGGGTATATATGCTACGTTCTTTTGGTTTGTTTTTTTTTTTTATGCAGCCTGTGGACTGAATGAAAAAAAGAGAAGAAATCTCTGCCAAAAAAAGTGTGTGGTATGCCCACCATTAAAATATACTGCCCTGCATCCACGCACTTCTAATAGTGGACACACATTAGGTCACACTTTACCACAAGCGCCAGTTCCAGGATTGTACAAATGTCTAAATAGTGGCACGCTTGAATAAAAATTGTCCATGTATAAGTGGTACCCCATATGGAAAAAGGATGACACCAAGTCCCAAACTATCTTGCCACTGCTCCCCATGTAGTCTGGGCATCCAGGGGGCTCTTTTCCCTCGTAAATCTGAAACTTATAGTGGTATAGTGCTGATCTGATTAAAGATATTGATCCGTTCAGACACTATACTAGCAATGGAGATTTATTGTGTGTGAGCGTGTTGCTGGCAATCAAGGGGTTAAATGTGATGACTAATGTACTGACGGGCAATCTGACGCCATCTGGGAGGGGCGTGAAAACCACGGAAACACGAATCGCGCATATATGTGATTTTGCGCACCCATGCCGCCCCGTAGTAGTATTTCTGCTATAGGGCGGTCAGGAACTGGTTACAGAAGAGGTTTGTATTACGTCACTGCGTTACTTTAACTGAAAATTGCGCGGTCATGCAACACTGCACCCAAATTAAATTTACGTCCTTTTTTTCCCACAAATTGAGCTTTCGGTGGTATTTGATCGCCTGTGTGTTTATTAAAAAAAAAAAGGCTGACAATTTTGAGAAAAAAAAAAACAGTATTTTGGACTTTTTGCTATAAAACATGTCCAGTAAAAAAATGTAAAAATCAAATTTTGTCATAAATTTCAGCCAAAATGTATTTGCCACATGTCTTTGTTAAAAAAAATCCCAATACATGTAAATTAATTGGTTTACGTGAAAGTTATAGTGTTTACAAATGGCGGGAAAGATACTGGGATTTTTTTTTTTTTATAATAATAATTGCGGCAGTCAGCAACTTATGGTGGTGATCAGTGATTTATGACAGTGATTAGCGACTTATGGCGGGACTGCAGCGGACATTTTGACACTGGGGGGGAACTGACTTGGGGTCACTGACATCCCCAGTGACACCAATACAGTGATCAGTGAAAAAAAAAACACTGACACTGTACTAATGGCACTGGGGAGGAAGGGGTCAACATTTTATTGAATGAAAGGGTTAACTGTGTGAGGGGAGTGTTTTCTAGG